TGTTCGAGTATCGAAACGAAGGACAGTGGCGAGCAGGGTTACAATGCGAATTCGCATCCGGACGACAAGGACAGCAAAACTAAGGACCGATGGCTGCTGGATCCGACGGCACCGAACGGCAAGGGGACCAGGAAGGTACGCTTTGACTGGCGCGTCACGCAGAAGTACGACGTGCTGTCGGTGATAGGCAAGGGAAGCTTCAGCATCGTCATGAAAGTACGCAATAAGCAGACCAACGAGTACCACTCGATGAAGGTCATCTCGTCTGGTTTAAGTATGATCCAGAACGAACTGTCTATTCTGTCGCGTGTGAAACACAAGTACGTAGTCCAGCTTATAGAAGTGTTTTGTACTTCGAGTCGCGTCTACGTTATTCTGGAACTGGCCAGCGGCGGAGAACTGTACGATCGTATAACTAAGAAAGGCACCTTCACCGAGGACGAGGCGGCGTACACTGTGTGCATGCTGCTACAAGGTGTGTCCTACCTTCACAGTGTCGGTGTGACTCACCGCGATCTGAAGCCTGAGAACTTACTCTATTCGTCGCAGGAGAAGAATGCAAAAATTCTCATTACCGATTTTGGTCTGGCACATTTGCAGAAGCCTGGAGAAGAGGATCAGATGACCGATCCGTGTGGTACTCCGGAGTACATCGCACCGGAGATTCTGACTCGATTGCCGTATACGAATAAGGTGGACATGTGGGCAGTAGGAGTTATTACATACATTCTACTTTCGGGAGTGATGCCATTTGACGACGAAAATCGAACTGCTCTCTACAGACAGATTCTGAAGGGAAGGTACTACTTTTATCCAGAGGTAATGCTACGTTCATTAATTAAATCCGATCCGGCTAGTTTTTTGATACGTGGCGAATAACAAGTCGTTTTTAGTTGGCGTTTAGCGTCTGAGTCTTATATTGGTTAGTTTTTGCACAACACGTTGCTGGCGTTCATTGACGCAGCTATGACGGCGGCGGCGCGGCGCGGCGCGGCACGGCGGCGGCGGCGGCGGCGGCGCGGCGGCATCGGTACTCATTGCGACACTTCCTACATGCAATGGCGTTTTAGTTTTGGTCGAACGTCAGCGAGGAAGCGATGCAGTTTGTGTCGACTCTGTTGTGCGTGGATGCCGACCAGAGGCCGACTTCGGAAAAGGCGCTCAAGCACCACTGGTTCGCCAGTGCGCTCGGTCGAACGAAAAACACAGACAAACGCGTCGGACAGACGGTGCGCAAATCTCAGTCGCTGAGCCAGTATAATCCGAGGGTATGTTATTTACCGGTCGGTATTTATTTTCCGGTCGGCACCAACGCCGCTCCTATAACTAATCAGTCGTGCTGTGATCAAACAGCTGTTGTCCGTCCGGTGGCAAGAAGAAACGCTCGTGCTGGGCAGGGATCACAGACACCAACTGTAGATTAAGCTTGATCTTACATAAACAATCGCTGATCCTCCATGAACTCATCGTGCCAGTCGATTGCGAAAGCATTTTCAGCAGTTGGCGCTCGACCTCAGAGTTTGACACTGCGGCATCTGCGAGAAATTACAGCTCTGATCGCGCTGAACGGCGTATTTTAAGCCAGGTTATATCTTTCATTCGCTGTGCAATCCGGGGACATACAGAGCACTCAAAAGCATTTTCCGTGACTGTAAAACCTAGAAACATTCGAATTGCGTGCATGAAGCGCAACGACGCCGTTGCTCGACATGCCGGAAGGCGCAACTGCCGCTTTCCTTTTCTCAGTGCTAGACACATGCCGGCAAGCCTGACCAGCTGACTTGCACCAATAAAAGTCTACCGACTTATTCGTGCAATATTTTTATCAGGCACGCTGAAGGAAACAAACTCTTTAAAACTCTTGCCCATACAACAGTGTGCCATCTTATGCTGAGCGGATGAACGCTTGATCAGGAAGTCTGCAGATAGCCCTTAAGTTAACAAATGCCAATACGCTATTTAAACTGTTAAATTCGTACGTTTGAGTTTGGATAAGTGCTAATCAGGTTTTTTAGTAAGGTTTGAAAATACCGTCCATCAACATCGAAACATATTCCATGCAGTAATTATGGTAAAATGCGTATCAAATTATTAGTACGGTTACCTTGACAAAAGTGAGGTTATAATTTTCTCTAGGACGAAGCGTCTTCTTAGATAACCGGTGAGGTAATGAACAAAATACAATATAATGTGTTTAACCGATTAGTGACTATTTCTTAATGTTAAGCCGGCACTAGCGTCAGAGGAATATCTCTCTACTTTTTGATTGACGAACAGCAACTCTTGTTTTTCTAGTGGAGAGTCAGTGAAGCAATGCTGTTTCTTTGTTCTCGATCTATTTTCAGTTCTTCAGTAACCAACTGAGCCGTGGATAAGTTTATTAATAACTGGCATAATAGTGCGAGTTTTCTAACGGATTTCTTGGCGAAAACTACGTGGTTAGACTCATTACAAATCCTTATGCGTGTGCTTGACAATACGGCAATAAATGATAGACACTGTTGCATGTTTTAGCTGTTGCTGTTCGCGTCATGCTGTGATCTGTGCGCGAGGTTGTTTAACATGCCTGAGGTCAAATCTAACTGGCGGGTACTTAATTACGGATCATTACAAACACTACTGCGGATAGCTTAGGGTTGCGGTAAATCTCTCTTACTAAATCTCTCTCTTAATTTGTTATTGGCGGTAAGACAAATTCGCAAATGATCATGATGATAACATCCCTTAATTCCCAGTCAAAGTTTGCATGGTAATACTGATCAGAATTTGGCTGGTCACAGTACTGAAAGTTCTATCAAGCTTAAATTTGCCAAATCTTTATTTTTGTCTGTCGCAAGCTATAGGTGTACAATTGAGCATATCAAGGAAGCAAAAACCAGGTTAACTAAAAAATTTACAGTGCAATATGAATCGTTTTGAAACCGTGCAAAATTGACCAGTGTATCTTGAATCGAAGGGACAACCACTGTTGGCCCGTCAGAAGGACGCTTGAGTGAAAAATCGTTTTTGGATGCAGCTAAAAAGGAGAAACGAGAAATGATGCTGAAATATTACACTCTTGACAAAATCCTCAAGCAGACTCAAAAGATATTCAATTGAAGGCATTAAAAATATTTGAATATTGACTGTTTACCGTTTTGGTATGGAGAGAGTGACACAAGACGAGATAAGTATAATGTGGTACAACGCAAAATGGGCTATCCTATAGAAGAGAGGATAATATTAACTGATTGACAGAATGTTTCTGAAATGAATGCTAAGCTCTAACTAAGCGTCGTCTTTTTTTTGCAAAGAGTAAATGGCGTATTGCCGCTTCATGTGTTTCTTAAAGACTAACTACAGAAAAGATCCTACAAACTAATTACGTTTGCAGTCGAAGTTTTCGTCTTCTAAACAGATTTGCCTTACAAACAAAGTATAGATCGAGTCTGTGCCTCCCTAGCTTACAGTTTCTTGTTCCATGAGATCCACAAGATTGCCACACGCAGCTGAGATAACTAAACTTAACAGCATTTCTTTCCGACATACTAACCGTTAGTTTAGCCGTCCCAACGTCATCAGGGTCAATGGAGAATGCCTACGATAAGCACATATGAAAATTTGATGCTGTTGTGTGAATGTAGAAATGATTTTCAATAAGAAAGATTATCACTCTCTGAAGCTTATTGATCTTAGTAGCCTGATGCCTTTGCTGTAACTGAAAGGTTCAGGTAAATTCTTATTACCTTATGCTTTAAGATATTGCTGTTGAAGATACTTCCTATCTTACTACTAAAGTGAACATTCCTGGATGGTGAACTGTTACTTGCTTGCAACTATAACCACCACCTTGAATCGTTTGCCGCTGCAATCAG